ATAACAGTGAAAATTGGTATACAAGGGTTTTTTGGTACGACAAAACGAACCATGGACATAGTTTTACTGTAGCCGCTAGAGGGCGCTCTTTACTGTACCTGTAGTGTATTAAAATGACCGAAAAAATTTTCTTAGTGCAATTTTTTGCTTTTTAAATAAAAAAACTGATTCTTCGCACTTTTCAACATAAAAAAGCTCTCCTGCGAGTTTTCGTTATAGTTGACCGTTTTTGATATATTTCGATTTTTAAGGTTCGATGCATTTTTAATTATTTATGATAAAATAACGTTAAAAAGTCAGTATCTCGATAATTTTTAGAAGTAGGCTGTGCCTGCAAATATTTTTGAAATTGAAAGTATGCAGTTCGGGAAAGAAATTTTCAGCGTGAATTTAGTGTGAACGTGTTGATTGGTATCTACCTTAATCGACTATTTGGACCCTACCTTTTGCCTGCAAGGTTAAATGCTGCGACCTTCTTGGAATTTTTAAAGGCTGAACATGCAAATATGTGGGATGATGTTATGTTAGATTTAAGAAGATTGGCCTGGTTCCAGCTTGATGGTTGTCCAGCTCATTATTCGAGAATAGTTAGAAACTGGCTGGACGAAAGTTATCCAGAAAGATGGATCGGCCGTGGAGGACCAGTCGCCTGGCCTCCACGATCCCCTGCCCTAAATCCATTAGATTTCTTTGTGTGGGGATTTCTAAAAGAAAAAGTGTACTATACCAGACTCTCGTAACCACAAGAGATATGCTAATAGACAGAATCAGGAATGCATTTGATGAAATAAGGCCTTATTTGAATAATGCTATACCACGGTCGATCATTCGTAGATGTGAATTGTGTATTGAACAATCGGGTTTACATTTCGAGCAACTACTTTAGATTTTGTATGTTTGTCCTAACTATCCAATAGCATTTTAGTTGTAAATAAGTAGTTTAATTTGTTAAAAATAATATTGGAAAATTAAACAAATTAATATTCTGTTTTTTGTGTTTATTTGGAGTTAGGAATTATTGCTGTGTTTAAAAACACAATCTAAACGATCAGCTTAATTGCTTATAATGCCCAAATAAAAATGTAAAAAAAAATATTATTTTCCCATAAATAATTAAAAATGCATCGAACCTTAAAAATCGAAATATCTCAAAAACGGCTAACTATAACGAAAATTCACAGGAAAGATTTTTTATGTTGAAAAGTGCGAAGAATCAGTTTTTGTATTCAAAAAGCAAAAAATTTCACTAAAAAAAAATTTTCGGTCATTTTAATACACTACAGGTACAGTAGAGAGCGCCCTCTAGCGGATACAGTAAAACTATGCTACTGTTTTGTCGTACCAAAAACCATTGTATACCAAATTTTACTGTTATACATCAAATATTGTTCGAAACATTTAAAAAAAAATATTTTAAAAAGTAAATTTAAACACCCTGTATTTCGAAAGCCACGCATTTTTCGGCCCATGTTTATATAGACTTTATGCATTAATTTTAAAAGTTCTATCGAATCTTAAAGTTATGCAACAATAAACTGAAATACCCTGTATTTTATAAATATTGTCATTCCCAGACGTACCATTACGATTATAGGATATCTGCAACTATCCTTGGGCCTTTTCTACCAATATGTCTGCTTAGTATCAAAGGAAAAACCGTCATGATACGTCTATGGCAAATTAGAACTATTAGTGCACACTGCAGATCAACCGACAGTTGTGGATTTGTACACAAAGCTGTGCAGTCCAAAAAATCCACACACACATTAGCCGTTAGCTTTCTCCAAAATGCACAAACTACGAACGCTCATTTTTAACGAGACACCACAATGAAAAGTAGTAAGTTAGATTGCATTCAGTTATGTTATGTGACATCCATTAAAATTAATACGTTACTCATTTGTTTGAAAGAATCAATTAAGTAGCCAATGAAATATGACACCGTTACGTGTAGATCTTCGTAATTATTGGTTCTCGTAATCGGAGGATGTGCCTCATTGGTTTTACGATGCGGAGATATTAATGAAGCAATTAATTGGCGGTATCATGGCATAGCATCGCACTGAAGGTGTGCAGTTTATAAAACAAGCAAGGCATCTTTAGAATCTGGTAAGTTTGCGGTTGTGTGCGATGTGCAACAGTAGTAGTAGAAGTAGTAGTTTTATTCGTCCCAAAGATCATAATTATAGGGTAAAGGACAAGTCACAAAAAATGTCAAGATAGATAATGTACATGATATAAGAATATATGGCAATTAAAATTGTTGGAAAAGGTAATGGTACATAAACACATTAAAAAACATTAAAAGAGCAGTCAGACGTTGAAATTTATCTAAGACGCCAACATCCACCGAGTAAAAGAAATTTTCGAGAAGCAATTCTTTTAAAGACTTGATAGGAAGTCGCTTGTAGCTGGATTATATTTTTTAAACACTTTTCAAAAAGAGCACTGTTTAGGTAAGGTTTTCAAGTAGTGTAATGATTAGTCTAGTACTTATTGATGTTTTTGCGACAATGGATTAATATTTGCATGATATAAATAGATGAAAATGATAATATTTCATACTGTTTGAAAAGCGGTCTACAATATGCATCAACCTTTACTCTAAATAATATTCTCAATATTCTCTTTCGAATTATAAATACCCTCAAGCATTTTTTACTACTGCCCCAAATCACTGCATCATAAGATAATGTAGCGTGCGCAAAGTAGAATGAAAACAAAGTATTAATATTAATCAGTTTTTGAAACTGAGTAAGAGCATGACAAATTTTTGTGATTTTATTACATACAGAGCCTATGTGATACCCATTTGAGTCGTTCGTTTAAATTAATATCTAAGGACTTATGACTATTTACTTGCTGAAAACTGCTACCTTTCCATGATGATAGTATGATTTTCATCTTGCTTTTGATTGGAGAAGTTTATTAGATAAGAGAACTACGCTCATCTTCTCTGAGCGATCCTACTTCTTCGTTTTCAATAATGATGATAGTTTAGTTTACTACTTGATATGTATATAGATACATTGTGCAACCAATATACAAATACACTTGTCTGTGTATACATATAAGTCGTTATCGCGCATTACTATCTTCATGTCCAATTAGAGGAACAAGCAACACCCAGAAAAGAAGCTTTATATTCATTCCAAGAACAATCTCAGGTGATATATTCGGTACGACTATAATTCTTAACAGGCACCGAATCAATCTACATATGTTTAGACTGAGATACGGTCTCATTCGTTGGAGGTATTCGAAGACAAAGAATTCCAAATTTCCAGGTGAAATTATTATATTTAGTACCTTTCTAATCTATGTTTTGGTATGCAAACCAGCAGATGATGAATGCGGTTGGATCAAGTTACAATGACATGATGCAATGTGGTGTGTAGGTATGTTCTTGGTACAAACACAAGCTGCTACTTTCTAGAGAAAACGGAGGTATTTGTTTTTTATAGATGATACATATAAATAGCGCCAAATGAAAACTCTTCATTCAACATTGAGATGTAAAATATCTGTTTATCAAGCTTTAACTGGTTTGATCATGATTGTACGAAACACTTGACAGATATCTCGGCAACAATTTAGCGCTGGAGCTAAATTAGTAAAACTAGATATACAGGAAGGTTTCTGTCGAAAAAATATTTCCATTGAATTTTTTTTTTAATAATCGATTGTATGGGAGACCAGAAAGAAGTGATCTACATCTCATCTGCAAGCACATTTTTTGAGCTCTTCCTCATTATAAACAATTTTTTTGTCTAGTAGATCGTTTTCAAGCTATAAGAAATTCATGTTTCAAAATCGCAGTTTGTTTCCAGAGACCAGCAGGTACTGATGGCAGTCGTAACAGTATTAAAATAAATGCAAGAAGCATAAAATAAGGAAATAAATCCTCATATAATTTACCCACAGAACTACAATGTCTGTGCATGGATCAATTGTATGTTGAATTGCAGTATATAACAAAAATAACAGAAAGAGAAGAAGAACATTTTTTCCTCCTAGTGTGTTTATCCATTCTTTGAAACTTTCTTAGTAACTTAAGATAATACGTAATTGTTTTAAGTCACTTGATAAATGTACGTACAAGTTTAGAGCTAAATACAGGTGAGACCGTTTCGTTACAGTTTATTTGATTTACGAACTTTTTTGCGCGTAATTTATATCGGTTGTTATGACAATATTTTATCGTATCACGTTCAATATAATAATTTTGTGGTGCAGCAGTTATCTATTTATGAAAAACAAAGGACAATCGTAGGCATGTTCGCAAAAAAGAACATGAGCAGATATTGGTAACTCGAGAGACGTATGTTTCTCTTGTTTGGCTTCTTCAGGCCATCGAAGACACTGAAGAGAAAACATGTGTCCATCACATCTAGATACCGGTGTAACCTGGAGGAAAGCAAGTATGGAAAGAGAAATATAACTAGAAGCCACAAACAAGAGCCAGCAGGCACATTTGTGACTTCGGCCAGAAGACCTCGTGTTACGAGGTATTAAGCAACGTCGCCACTGAGGCGAGCTATAGCTACCTGTCGAGATACTCAAAGCCCATGAGTAAATACAAAGGAAGGAACTTAGATGAAAAACAAAGGACAGGTAGCTATAGCTTGTTCCGTGACGACGTTGGTTGATACGTCGTAAACACGATGTCTTCTGACCGAAGTCACAAATGTGCCCTTTGGCACTTGTTGGTGACTTCTAGTTGTACTTCTCTTAGCATTTTTGCTCTCTTTCAGGTTACACCTGTATCCAGATGTGATGGGTAGATGTTTTCACTTTAGTGTTTTTGATTCACATCCATTTGGGCCTGATGAAGCCAATAAGCAGAAACGCGCTCCTGCTCCTTGATTGCGGACATGCTCAGAAGTGTCCTTTCTTTTTCATCTAAGTTTCCGCAAGGCGGCTTGTCTGTGTAGTCCATTTATCCCATGCGCTTACACCATTGTTACGTGTTGATCTAGAACTGTAGATAGACATTTAACTTACCGGTCGTCGCAGTTGCAGTGCATTAGAGTGTTCATCCTCCAGTTGAAGAGCCCATACTTGGTCTCGAAAGCTCCTATCCAAAAAGGGCATGCCAGATCGTGTTTTCTACAGCACCTATCTGTTCTGGAGAAGCCTCCTAATCTGGTATACTTGTCGGCTGAGTAACCTTTCCCACACCATTTGGTACCTGGTACCAGGAACATAGAAGAAGCGTCCCTTTTGGACCTGTTGAAATTCAAAAAATGCATGATTACAGGCAACGTTCTGGATGTACGGGAGTAAGCTTAGTCTCAAAGAGCACAAGAGATGGTGTTCTTTTTTTAAATACTTATTATAAAATTTTCTGTAAATAGCGACGCAGTCACTAGATAACGATAGTGCTTCGGTTATGACATTATTTCTGCGGTCGTCATCGGACTCGGTAAATATTCAGTATAGCGCGTTAAACTTTGCGGAAAAATGAACAAAGACCGGCAAGTTTCTCAAAAAATGCTTTTACTATTTGTTGTTTATTTGGGTGCTCTAGAGGGTCACTGTCTTAGCTAATTTTTTTTACTATCTGTGAGGTATGGTTACAAAGGCATCAGTCATGAAGGAACGGGGGGCAGAAAAATTTATTGCGATGCCTTCATGATTGTCAATTTTTGAGGTTCTACATAAAATAGGGTAAGGTAATTGAAATGTAACCTGGTTACCCGGACCTTTATTACCAACCTATAATAAAGGCTTACTATACGAACCACCGACTACTAAAAAATATAGACCTATCTATTTACATTCGGATTTTTGCAGACATCTCGGAAACTTACATGTCCATCAATGGAAGCTAGTAAATCTCCGAAAACGTTTTTTATACAATACCTACTAATATGTTAAGAACGGAAAGCTCTTCATATGTACGTGATGAGAAACATCATTTGAAATTAGATTATTCGCAACAATTGACAACGTCACATATACTAGTTATCGTGAAAAATGCGTAAACGTTTACTGATCATTCGAATGTGTCATGTGAATTTTCGTGTTGACAGAGCAATTTTTTTAAATTTTCTTTATTTTTATTCGCAGTGATTGTTTGCGTCTTTGTAAAATTAATAATGAAGATGCACTGCTATATATGTAGAATTATAGCCCACAAGTCTGAAGAACATGTTTTGTTTAATAGATATGTATATAGTAGGTTATCTTTATTTTTTATTTTCGTTTGGCAGTGGCGTGGTTGTCATTCGAAAACAAAGTTGGATGTTTGAATGCTTTATGACTCAGATTTTCAACAATATACACTTTATACATGTAATTAGCAGGTAACCAAATAAGTTCGTGCGGTTTTTAGTAAAAAATTATAAATTTTTATTGAGGAACAATAAGACACTATTTATTCGTCGAAGTAAGTACCATCACATTCAATGACCTTTTGCCAACGTGGAATCAATTTTTGTATGCCGATATTGTAGAACTCCCTGGATTTGGATTCAACAAATTGGCGGACTGCATTTATTACATGCTCGAGTTGTGAACTATCGGTGGCTCATACAGTGGTCAAGAGACAAAAAAGTGATCATCACTGGGTGAAATGTCGGGAGAATATGGCGGGTGTGGTAACGTTTCCCAGCCGAGTTCAGAAATTTTTTCTCGGGTCACTTTTGCGGTATGAGGCCGTTATCCTGCAAGAATATCACTTTCTTCCGATTGATCAAAGAAGGCGGTTTCTGGTTGAATGCTGCTTGTATTCGTTGAAGCTGCTCACAATACAAGTTAGCAGTGTTGGTTTGACCCCTTTCCAAAAACTCATAATGGACAATTCCAGTTGCTGTCCACCAAACATACAACAAAACCTTGTTCGGTGCAAGGAAGGCTTAGGCGTGTGTGGTACCGAATCAGTAGGCGACAACCAATGATACGGACGCTTAGAATTCGAATACAAGATCCATTTTTCGTCGTAGGTTAATAACCGATTAAGAAATGGCTCATTAGCGTTGAGTGAAATGTTTGCTGAACAAATGGTAAGACAACTTAATTTGTTATCATTTGTCAATTCATGTGGGACGCATTTGCTTAACTTCTACATCTTTCCTAGCTGATGAAGATGCCAACGAATAGTTTCAGGACTCACTCTGAACATTTCTGCAAGTTCTTGGCACGTTGTCCTGGAATTTGCGTTCACAACCTGTCGAAGATCATATCGATCGACAACATCCATGGCAATGTGCGATATACAGCAACCGCACGAACTTATTTGGTTACCTGGTTACATAATTTTTTATTTATGGATAGCATACTATATCCCTTTTTAGTAATATTCAAGTTATGGATATATTATTTTTCAACGTTCCTCAAATAAATCAACCCTTTGTATATTCTATGTAATGTATAATTTTTGTCCAACATAATGTGCTACATTTTTTTCTCTTTATAGATACTTTGATACTTCCGAACTGTGTTTGTGAAATGTGTTTAATTAATTTTTGAGGAATTTCAGTGTCTTCAAATTGAGTTATTAGTTTAGTAGTGCTTGTAAAGCTTTTTTACAGAGAAGCTGAGGACCCAGTTCAAATGAGTGCTGCCTAATCGGACATTATAAACTTTTTCTTTCTATACTAACTTATGAAATCGCCATAACTGTCCGCAGTGCCTTATTGACAAGTAGCATTTCTCTCCCTGAACAAAAATCAAGACGAGGATTCAAATTTATATGATTTTGTTTTACTGTATCAAATAAAATAAATTAACCTAACCAATTATAAATTGATTCATAATATGATGTACCAAACAACTGCGCCTTCTTAAAAAATTGCCGACAGAGCCCTTTTCTGTAATTGTCCCCTGAACACTCAAAAATGAAGTTCATACTATCGAACGCGACTCCGACCTCGAATACAGATCGTACCATCATGTCGCTGTATCGTAACTCAACTCAATCTTCTCTAACAACCAGCGGTGATCTAGCAAGCATATGGCCATCAATCAGTTGAAATTTCATATCAATAAATTCTTATTAACTTCCTTATTGCTGTTACGATAAATTATATTTAGGTTTATTTTAGGGCCTGTTTAGATATGCGAAACATAATTTTATTGGATCACCAGTAACAAGCCTGTAACACAATCATTTTATGTTCCATTAAATTTTCATTACGTAAATATAACTCATTTTTATCTGGCACCCATACTAAGTTGTTAATGGTGGTAATGAATGGATTAGTAATTCGACGGTAACGAGATGCATTCCATCTACGCGTTTTATCATTCGGTAACTTTTTGGAATATTCAAAGGTAATTTGGGTTGACAATGGGCCGGTTTTGTGTTACAAGAATTCGAGTCAAAGGTAAGTGGTACCTCGTTGGGCGAGGTGACAGAACCTGATATAAAATACGTGGAAAAGTGGACGCTTTCTCGGTGTTGAAATAATTAATAGGATTAGAGGAGAGAACATGGATACCGACACGCGATAGGTTGAATTTCTTTTCTTTTTGTTGAATGTAAACTTATACTAGAGAGTTTTTCACAGTGGTTTAATCAATTCTGTTTTTTTTGCGTTCTTTGTGAGAGGACTGAAAAGGAAAGAGGGTAAAAATCGTATATCTGAGCAAATACGAAATATATCTAACAAAAATATAAGTACGAATTGTACGTACAGAAAATTAACTTGTAGCAAATAACTTGTCACAGAAAATCGTCATCGAACAGCCCTTATCAAACGCAATGAGGAGATCTGAGATCAGACACAGTGAAACAGTTCGGAAGTTTCCTTATTCACCTGTTTATGTCCTTGGCGATTTGGTACAGGTATCTTCACACCTTCAGCAATATTACCTCGATTTTGTTTCTTGGCTCCAGTTTTGTTATGGTTTGATATTGGATTCCGAACATGAAATCCATGTAATATATGATACTGGTAAACACCGTTTTCAGTACTTCTTATTACAATCATTAACAACTTCACGTTAGATAAGGATGAATTGCACCTAATAAAAAATTATAGAAAACAAAACGTTTGACTTAACAGACGTTGGTATTTCTGTGACATGAGGAGTAGAAGTCAGATGGAACTGTTGTTCTACTCACAGAGTGTGAGCTTTTTGTCACAGTTCAATTAACGTGTCGTATACACTGATCAAAACGGTACGATTTCTAAGATGGGGAACATATCACCATATCAAATAAGTTTGCGAATTCATCCGGCAAAATGATCACTTTAAAAAAACAGTAGAATTCGTCTTTAGAGTTAAGTCTGGTAGACGATGGCGAGACTACCGCAATTTTTTTCCCGAATAACTTTCTATCAAATATTCTACTCCCTCATTTGACGCCCATATTGGTACAAAGCTATCAATAACTCGTAATATTTCCAACATATGAAAAAATGCAAGTTTAGATGTATGCTACCAATCACATTCATAAAAAGAACTGCATTCACACGAAAAAAACACGAATGAAGTTGATCTTTGTTTTTCAGAAATACACTATTGTGCCAATATTGCTTTTATCAATTGCGATGCTGTAAAGATATAATAAAAATGGCCAATGTATGTTGGATTTCTAGAACAACATGTGAACAGAATTTCATATCTCTGTCTGAGATAAAGTGATTGTTAAAAGCCGGGTGTTGCATTATTGCAATAGAAAAACGGATATTTCGAAATATTTCGAGAACTAATATGTTGAACACAACTTGCAATAATTTTGAATACAGCATGCGATAGAATTATATAAACCTTGATTTGATGAAATGACTTTTATGTTTTTTTACGCCCGATTTTACTATTGGATCTAATACATTTGGTCAATTTCTTATAAAATGTCGCACGAACTAGAAAAAAATGAGACGATTTGGGTAAGATGGCTCCTAATTCTCATATTAAGTCCAGAAGTACTTCACATATCACATGATTCAGCTGCAAAAACCTATTTTCCATTCGAGTATCGACTCTAAAGCGGACGCAGTTTTCAGCAATCAAAAAAACAAGATTTGTGGACTACTCGAAACGAGGATCAAACCTGATACAATAGATTGACATGACATTTTATAGAAAATAACACTATCTCATTGTTGCTGTACAAAATTCTGCTTAACAATAAACACTTTGAGGACATAAAAGTCTTTAACAAAAATCGAGTATATAATCAATTCTACTAATTTACTACGCGCCGTGATGCAGATGGCAGTGCCGGAATTGGTCGTCCCACTGCCCAGTAGAGGGC